CATGCATTTATTCAAATAAAACTTGAACAGTTGAATTAAAAGAATACATTTTTTTTAAAACAAGAGAAATAATATTACATAATACAATGTACCTCTTTAATAAATAAATAAAGATACATTTTAAATCCAAATGAATATGATTCAAGCTGCTTAAAAAAACTCCAAAACATATCTTCAATATTCATTTTTATAAACATAGTCGGTAACTCTGACAACATGGAGAGCGATTGACACATATGACACATCATAATTAAAGGGGCCATATTCTGCTCATTATCAGGTTCATATCAGTATTTAGTGTCTCTACTTTAAAGAATCCTCTCCTGCTGATGTTCAGGTGTATATCAGTATGTAGTGTCTCTACCTTAAAGAGTCCTCTCCTGCTGATGTTCAGGTGTATATCAGTATGTAGTGTCTCTACTTTAAAGAGTCCTCTCCTGCTGATGTTCAGGTGTATATCAGTATGTAGTATCTCTACTTTAAAGAGTCCTCTCCTGCTGATGTTCAGGTGTATATCAGTATGTAGTGTCTCTACTTTAAAGAGTCCTCTCCTGCTGANCAAGTTTATTCTACAACAACAGATGAAGCCAGAAATCTATGTGTTGTCAGCGACTTAAACTGAGTTTCAACAGTCACATTAAAACAGTTACTAAATCAGCCTACTATCACCTAAAGAACATATCTAGGATTAATAGACTAATGTCACAGCAGGATTTGGAAAAGCTTGTCCATGCTTTTATCTTCAGTAGACTCGACTACTGCAATGGTGTCTTTACAGGTCTCACTAAAACATCTATTAGAAAGCTGCAGCTGATTCAGAACACCGCTGCTCGAGTCCTCACTAACACTAAGAAAGTGGATCACATCACTCCTGTTCTGAAGTCTTTACACTGGCTTCCTGTGTGTCAAAGAATAGATTTCAAAATACTGCTGCTGGTTTATAAAGCTTTGAAGGGTTTAGGCCCAAAATACATTTCTGACCTCCTGCTAAATGATGAACCATCCAAATCTCTCAGGTCTTCAGGGACTGGTCAGCTTTCTGTCCCCAGAGTCAGAACTAAACATGGAGAAGCAGCGTTCAGTTATTATGCTCCAAATATCTGGAACAAACTCCCAGACACCTGCAGGTCCGCTGCAACTCTGACTACTTTTAAATCCAGGCTGAAGACTTTTCTTTTTGCCGCTGCTTTTAATTGATATATTAATATCTTAAACTGCACTGTAACTTTTATTATCTTTGCTTTTAAATGGAGTGTTTCTAGATATCATTTTATAATATGTTTCTTAATGTCTTTCATTTTTGTAAAGCACTTTGAATTGCCTTGTGTCGAAAGGTGCTATATAAATAACCGTGCCTTGCCTATGTTATTTGTACTGTTAAGTCTGTTAATACTTTAATACGTTAATTTCTCCCTTGTGCATCGGTTCGCTCTTTGTATGATCGGCTGTTTTTGTATCTTAAGTTGTCTGTATTTTTATTGCATCTATTTGATTTATTTCAATGGACATGACCCCAAAAGTACTAGAAGCAGGAACATGGGCCTCTGATGGGGATCCGAGTATAAACAATAACCTAGCAGGCTGTAAATCTATTATAATTTCAACCACCTAGAAAAATAAATGTCTATAACTCTCTATCATCTCTATAATGATTAATAGAACCTCTTTATCATTATTCAACTATATGTTAACCTTTCTTTAACCATCCTATCTTGAAGGTTTACCCTCTCATAACTCTTTTCTTATTGCATTTTTTACTACTTCGTGACTCTGAATAAGGACTTCCGAAATACTTTTGCTACAACGTTTATCAGTGCATCATCTGAGCAGTCATCGGCCATACAGTACTGTTAGTAGAGCGGAACATCCTGTTCATGGGAGCAGGTACAACTCCCCCGCAGGAAGTGTGACCCCATTGTGAACAGGTGAGCTGTCATCATCACACAGGTAGCCGGGGTAAGGAGTGGCTGCTGGCGTCACAGCTCGTAAGTGAATAATCCGTGCAGGTATTTCCGCTCAGGCCTCGGCCCACTCACAACAAGGCGTGGGAGGGGGGGGCGGATCCAACCTACTCACTGCAGGAATGGTGGAGGAGGAGGAGGTTAATTCCCTTGGTGAGCGTCACACAGGAAGCTGATAAGAGGAATTTTACCAGACACACCGATGCTCTGAATTCCGGGTTTTTCCACTTCAGCCTGACAAAGCTGGATAAATGATTAAATATATTCAGAGAACATTAAAGCGTCATCAGCTTTTTATTAGTTGTTACTGTATTGTAATGATTCAGAGACTTTTTTTATTGAGTGATAGCATTGATTGATTGAATATAGGGACACTCTTATATCTTACCATTGGTGGAAAGTACCTTCATTCATTTACCTAAGTACTGTTCAATGTTAAATCATTGATTTACTCCATAACCATCCATTGACAGCTTTACTGGCTTTGCAGGTTTGGTATATTAATAGAAAATATAAATCAACAAATACATTTTGGTGTAACACTAAAGGTTAAGCTATCCAGTAGTTTATCAAGTAATTATAAATAGTGTTACCTTTATCAGAGGCAATATTTACACATCAATTTATCACTGATTGAAATCCAGCAATACAAAATATATGACTTTGAAATTTGCCATTCTGCCGAATAAGTACTTGCACTTTTGGTACCTTAAGTATGTTTTGATACTATAACTTATGTACTTTTATTTGAAAACAATTACTTAACATAATTTGAATACTTCCTCCACCACTAGCTGTAACTGCTGAATGTAAATGTAAATGTACTCAAACTAAGGGGCTTTAAGGACGCTTGTTCCGATGAGAAATGATTCTTTGAAAGAGTAAATGGGAGTGTTGGTGGGGGCTTTACTCTCTCTATGTTTTCAGGAAAGGAACTCAACAGGAAAGGAGAAGTGTTCAAATGCAGAGATTTTTTCAAAACCACCATGTGTTTTCCATCTCAGTTCTTTGGCTCCTTTCACTCTTTGCTCCCAAATGCTCCAGAAAATGATCCCACTGTGTTTTTCCCCCGGCTTGCTGGAAATGACCTAACTACTGCCAGGAAGAGGAATGTGAAGCATTCCCTGGAGCTGTTTGTGACGTCAGAGCATCGAGGAGGCCCCTACGCTTCCGCCAGCCTGGATATTCCAGAGTACACTCAACCTAAACTCCCAACAGCTGGAGTCAACTGCTGCTTCGCTCCAACTCCAAAACAATCCTGAGAAATACACACACCACACACAGGCACATACACACACCCCGCCTCCTCGCCTCTCCGCCCATGCACTCACATCTGGGACTTTGCTGCTTACTATAATGAGCTGAGAACAGTACATTTTTATACTCAAAACCCCAAAGAATTGTGATTTCTACAGATTTCTTTTACACCCTTTTTTATCAGTGTTCAATGTATGGATATTCAAGTGTTATATTCCGACAGTCAGTATGCCTCCTCAGCATGATTTTTACAAGATCATGTTACTCTTTGGCCTGTGAATAATGAGTCAGTCAAAGGTTGTGTAACTTTGTATTTTCCTGTAGTTTCTGACTGCCTGATTATGACGTTAAACATCAAAAACAGCTCAAGAAAACTCACTTACCAGTATTATATTCATTTTTCACAGAAATGTATCCGCGTCATAGAGTTGTAATGTTAGACGTATCTATTCTTATTACAGCTAAAACCACTAAGAAATGCGTCAATTGACATAATGTTTAAATGGCAGATATTCCCGTAACTGATTAATCGCTTAGGTCATTGGTTCCAGCATCTCAATTGTTAAACTCAAAATATTGTTAACTTAATACATTTGGGGATTTACATACTGGCAAAACATTAAAAAAAGCTATTTTACAATGTTACCTTAGGTTTTAGGATATTGGCATTTTGTCCTAATTTGACATTTTCTAGCCCTGACGATAAATCAAGAATAAGATCTAGAGATGATTTTATTATGATAATAATTGTCAATGCAGTCCTATTTCTTATAACGGCTTGCGGTTCTTCCTAAATTGCAAAAAGAACACTTTAAGTTGGCAAATTATTATTTTAACTTTATCTCAACGTCGAAAGTCTTCTGCATCTGGTGCTTAAAGGTGGGGTAGGTCATTTTGGAGAAACCAGCTCGAGTGCGCTAGAATTTGAAAATACACAACCGGAAAAAATCTGCCACTTCCTTACAGAGCCCCTCCTCTAACACACACGAACGCGCACATGACCAATGAGCTGAGACTGCCAAGGCACACAGGGATAGGCTGACAGGCGAGGTAGGCGCATCCAGTTAATTTTTAGCCGAGCCGGCTAAGATGATTGGTCGTGCTTTTTAAAGTACTACGGCTTCCACAGATGACATTTTTTTATGGATTTTTTTGTCAAAGCACTTAAGATATTCATTGCTATCGGGATGTTAAGAGCATTCCATGGAATATAACAAAAAGTGCATCTCGAGCCGGTTTCTCGAACTTACCTACCCCACCTTTAACAAAGCTGTCACTTTCAGACTCTACTCGATATAATAAGTATCCAAATCAAACTGCAGCAAAATGTGGTTTTAATTTAAAGACCCCTTCAAGACACATTTCAAGACATGTGAAAAGAATCTGCTTTGAATAGCAAGTTGCTTCAAAATTACATATACTCTTTAACCATCATGGAAAATCTATAATCTATGCATGAATGCAAATAAGGTTCATTTGAAAGGGTTTAGAGATAATGAGAACAACATGTCTCCTACTTTTCTGAAAGTCTATTCCCAGTGTCGATCCACTGGAGGTTTCTTATTGGACACAGTATTGGCTCCAAAATGATGTTATTAAATCCTGCTTGTGTGTACATGTGTTCAACTCAGATTGAAGGTGAGCACAGCGAAACAGGCTCTGCACATACTGATAGAATTCTGCACAGTGAGGCTCAAACATCCCAGTGAAGTAACAATAAGAACAAAAACATGTTAGTGTGTAGGGGGGCTTAAAGGGGTGACATGTATTACATCCTCTCACCATGGCGGGTATATGTGGACGATGTCTCTGGGAACAAGCATCAGCTGGGCTGCAGTTTCTCTGTTGAACAACACCAGCAAACCAGCTCTTCCTTCAGGGGGGGCGTCGCTGTGCTGGTGGCCCTCTGCGGGGGGCTGCTGGTGCTCACAGTGCACCAGTTGCATGCTGCACTCCTCCTGAACCTCCAGCACCTCCAGCACCAGCACGCCAGGCCTGTCCACTGGAGAGCAGAGCAACAACAACACAGATGTTGAGTGTGTGTTTGTGTGTAAAGAGTGCACTCATACTCTCCCGGACTCTTGCTCTCTGAGGGGCTTATTATGCGTTATAAGAGTAATTCACTTTTAGCGTCAGAACATTTTGCACTGTATAAATTCGAAAGCTGTTACTGACTCAGAGTTGAATATGAAACGCACCGAATCCCAATGGGTGAGAGTGCAAATGTTTGGAATTTTACCACAACGCTGACTTTGCTTTTGACTCAAGCAGAGATAACAAGGAGGAGAAAATACAATAAAAAGACAATGCCCTGAAGCAGTAAAACAAACTACGCATGCAAATTCTGTGGGAAGACTTGATTGCATCGATTTGTGAAAATTGCAGCACAAGAGCTCTCAGTCAATGCAGCTCTGTGAACGCCAGCAATCCCGAAAAATAGCCAGGGGGGGAATTTTAATGGAGTAAATCATATCAAAAAGGGAGATTAAGAACAATAAAGTTGAAAGAAGCATTTGCCTAAACACGAAACTGAACAGTTTATTTGGTGCGCGTAGGTCCCAGATGATTAACTCATGGGAAGAACCAGGGGCAGAACGCCACATCTGAAATCGTCCTCTTGGCCTGTAATGAACTGATAAATGATAGGCGGGGCAAATACATCAGGAAATAATTCACAGTCTGTGTTTGAGTGCACTTACATTTCACACCAAAAGGACAGCATCAAATATAAACAGGTGTCTTGTAACAGCATGATCTAGCAGGTAACAACGCTATTATAGCTAGGAATGAACCAGGGAGTGGAACAAATACAATGAACTCTCCTGAAACGCTTTAATTATGCACTCTGCAGGGTATCTGACTTAAATGCTTTAAAAAAAAAACAGAACTGTTTTCATTGCAAAAAGCACTATTTATTGGAGCTTAAAAAATGAGATCAAGTCAATAAACCTCCCACTCCGATCAACTCTTTACACATTACTCTAATCAAAACATCGAATGACCGCAAACTCAGATCAGGTGGGTGCTTTTTTTTCTTTTTCCACAATCAACTGCCAACCTTTAAGCCACTGCTGGTGTCAATTCTGAGGGAGATACATAACAACGACAAAACATAAGTGGTTTGGTATACCACGAAAAGGAAAAAAAGAACTAGGCAAGCAGCTTCCTGTCACCTACATATCGAATTCAGAGTTCACAGCCACAGTGATCGACCTACAGCCAGCACATCCTCAGCGTGCCCTTTCTCCATAGAGAAGGAAATCACGGGCTTCATCCCACTCACAAATCAAAGCTCATTGTTAAAATAGTGATTCAGGTCGGAGAAGACAGTGTGTTTGTGTGGATCACCTGTTGCTGCGGCCTCAGAGATGGACTGGTGCCTCCAGAAGCTAACAGCTGACCTCTGTCTGCACTGGAGTCGGTTCAGCCTCTCAGCGAGGCCTCCACTACGCACCGAACACACACAGAGGTACAGTAGATGACGTTACTTGATCAAATCACGCAGCACATGGGAAATTGTTTCTTTCAAAGAACAAGATTTTCTGATCTCAGACTACAGATAGCCATCTGTCACATTAGGGTGGGCTTGGAAATGGCAATGACATTTAGCACCCACATCATGACACCAGGTGTCCCTTTCATCGTCAGCTCTGCCGTGGAAACATTGTCGCCTGGCAGCAAGTATTATGCCTTCTTCTCGGTTTGCTCTTATTTTAAGGCAACAAACTGTGGCACTTTATAATAATGTGTGGTATGGGCGCATGCTAACGCCATAGCTTATCATTTCCATTAAGTATGATATCTATAATGAAGGTCCTTAACTCCAGAATGCCTATTTGTGTATCAACTACTCACCGTGTTTCCTTGAGTTTGTAAAGAAAACCTTGTTTTTCTCACGTCTTTGTGTTTAAAGACGATTCCCGAAACGTATGCTCGCTCTGCCCCTAACAAGCATTTTTGCTCAAACCTTTGTATTTCAAACACTTACACAAATGTTATTATCACAGAGGAGCCGCATGCTTGTGCAAGCATGAGATTGTTTATTACAAACGGTTTGAAATTGTCGGTTTACGGAAATGTGTTTGGGAAGTACTGAGCATAATGATGAATGAATATAATGTGACTTGGATTCAACTGCATGTGTCAGGTTTGTTAACGGATGTTTTGATATAGTTTTGCTGTTGTTGAACAAGGCTCAGTTACTTCAACTTGTTTGGAAATGATTCAGTCCTCACCGTGGAGGCATGGGAGACAAATACCATTTCACTTAAATATTCAAGGATACATGGGTTGTTTATTTTCTTTATTAAATGTGTATTTTTTGCAATCAGTTACAAGGCTTGAAGGCTGCCGTTTCTGTTTTTAGCGCTAGAACAATCCCTGTCCTCATGTTACCCGATGTTCAACACACTGCAGTACGCAAACTATAAATTGGAGGGGAAAGAGAACAATAGAATAGGATCAGGTTTCGGGTATTAGCAGATACTTCTGGTCAAGATTTCAGAACGAGACAAAAAGCTGAACTTGCACGTCCCTAATGTGAAGTTGAGAAAACAAGAACATTATTCAAACCTTTTGAATTTCCTTTTCTTTTTGGCAGAGTCTTCAGGTGTCTTTGACTGCATGTTGGACTGCAGTTTCTGAGGCGTCTGCAGCATTGCCTGAGCTGACCTGACCCAGTCCCTGATGGACTTCCTGCTGCCCTCGCCGCACTGCACAGGAGAGTCCGGTCTGATGGGAGTCACCGCGGCGTCAACATCCTCGCCGTCAGACACATAGCCCGAGATCTCAAGCCCTGCCGTCTAGAGATAAAGACATTTATTAATAATTAACTTGAATAAATCAAAAAAGGTATTTGACCTAGTTTTGGAATATGTCACGTTTGAAGGAATAGAAGTGTTGATTTGCAGATCAAATTACACTATGTATGCCCGTTGGGTGAGGGATCTAATGACACACAATTGGAAGAGCTGAGATACCGTAGCCAGGGTTGTGGTTAAAAATACTACAAGTTTCCTAGATTCTTTTAACAAGTAATAAAGCCAGTCTGACTGCATGAAGCCAACCCTTTTATTTAAATTAATTAGTATTATATATTTTTAAGAATACAATTGTTGGTGCATGTACATGTGCATATTATATGTATTAGAATGATATATTATTAAATTGTAGTATAAATGTATTGCTATTGATTTAGGTATGCTACTTTAATTGTTTGTATCTACATTTGCTCTGTTCCCTATAATTGCAAAATCAATAAAACTGTTAAAAAAAACAATAAAATAATGCTATGTGTGAGTAGAATATGAGATGGATTTAAAATGGCATCAGCCTTCAGTAAATTAATAATGAGTCATTAAAGATTAATTAATATAAATAAAGTGTATCACACAGTGGGTGGATAAGGTACACTGACAGGCGGATGAATCACAAGATATAATACCAAAACATTCTGTTTCTGCTGTCTCACTGCTCACTACACCTGGAGGAAACCGTTCTCATGGAAAAATCCACAAGAAACCTGAGTTCCTGTCATGTGCAGACAAGACCAGCATACCAGGCTCTGTCAGCCAGCGCGCTCTCTTGTTTGAATCAACTTGACCCTGCTAGGCTCCGTGCCAGCAGACGTCACACTCTAACCAGCGAGAGAGAAAGGAACACTATGTTCCTGGCTATGGATCAAAAATGTTTTGCACCCGGCACTGAAAGCATTGTAAGTACACAGCTCTGCTCAGGCTCATCCACTCACATGTTGTCCTGAACAAACAGTAGTAAAAGATGTTTATAGCGCCGCTCTGTTGACACGCCCCTGATGCAGCGAGGACCCTGATGTGGTGGAGGTTGTTGACCCTTTAAGTGCCTGATGTGGACAAGCTCCATCTGGTCAGCTGCCATCCTCTTTGGCCTCGAGATGCAAAGTCGCCCTCACAGCTCCGCCTATCCACTCTCAGCGTTATATACAGAAATCTGGCAGAAATACGTGGAGTGAGTCGGCCGATCGTTTATCTGGAGTAATAAACTTTGATTTGGACTGAGAATATTCTGCACTGGATCCTGTTAGATCCGGATTGATTTAAAAATTGGCTGTGTGTAAAGCACGGTTTCCGGGCAGCAAAGACATTTAAACTGCGTTGTTCTTTGTAATTGTTGTAATTTTATCAGAATCTTCCAAGTTTACTGAATTGTTATATTGAATGCTAATAGCCAAACTAACATGCTTTTTCTCATTACTGAATACGCATTTGAGTAATGAGGAATCGAATTCTCGAATAAGGGTGCCACAAATTGTTAAAATTATTTTTAGAATTACTATTATTTTTATATGCTATAAAAAGTTAAAATAAAAATAAAAATGTGGATCAGCGTTTCCCAAAGTCAAAAATGACGTTCTTAAATTAGAGATGTCCCGATCCGATCACGTGATCGGGGATCGGAGCCGATCACGTGATTTTCAAAAGATCGGAATCGGGAGAAAAAAAATCGGGGATCGGGATTTTTTTTCTTTTTTTTTAAAAATACTTTTTTTTAAATGTTGTATTCAATGTTACAAAACAAAAATGACCATGTTCAAGTCTTAAAGTCATCCTGAGGCCTTAGTTTTGGTTTCAAATTACACAACATCATGTATGTGTTGCTTCTTTGGGGCTTGTTTTCATAGACCTGGTTGATTATTTCTCTCAAATCTGGCAACAGAGTGGGCAGGGCGCAGTGTCTAATTGTAACAGTAAGCTAACAAGTACTGAAAGCTGTTTTTGTTTTTGATCCAATGCTGCACAACTGAATTGATCCAATGCTGCTGTGAAAGAAAGAAGCTATATCCATGTTGGATAGAATATCCAATTTAAATAAGAGAAAAAATCTTAAGGGACAACTTAAATTCTTTTTTTTCTCTTAATGCATTGCATAAAGATCGGATCGGAAAAAATCGGTATCGGCAAATTGTCAAAATCAAATGATCGGAATCGGATCGGGAGGAAAAAAAGGTGATCGGGACATCCCTATCTTAAATGTCTTAATTTGTACACAACTCAAAGATATTCAGAAATAATTCACATTTAAGAAGCTCACATCAGAGAATCCCTAAAGAGATTCAACCGATAATGAAAATAGCAGGATTCCAAATAATTTTTGGACACCTAACTTTGCAACTATACTATGAAAAATGCATACATTTTAGTCAAACCATATTTGAAAAAATGTTGACATTTAATCTTTCTAGGAAGCCTCTGACCACAAACATGTTAGGTGATTTTTTTGACCCCAGAGAGCTGATATCAGCAAATTAAAATGTGACAAGAGGAAGTAGCTGGGTCTGTGGGCTGGATGTTAATCTGTCGACAGACTTCCTCTCAAAACACACCAAACTGCACAAACTCAGAACTTCAAATCACAAGACACTGGTTCCTAAAATGCATGTTGTGTTAAATCAACCGGCACATTATAGAGTGCTGCAGGGATAATATATTGTTGGAGCCCAACTGAGAAGAAGGTAATTTCCTTGACAAAAAGCCGTAATAACAAATGTATGATGGTAAATCTTTTTTTTCAAGTATGATAATCATCACAAAGGAACACTCATTTCATGTCTGAAGCATTATTGACTGACGAGAATTAAAACGCAAACATAAGGCTATGAACTGAATTTGCATTATATCAACATCACCACCACTGAGAAGATGAGTGTTGTGTTCGATGACGTTGAATATCCGGACAACCACCTGATTCTCATTTAGCCACATGTTTAAAGACACTTAAAAGCTTTACAATTCATTTTAGTGGGGTATTTACTGATGTATTTTCTGTGCTACAATAAAACATGTGTTAACCACAGACATTTTTTAGGCCTCTATCCAAAACCCATTCAAATGCTAACTCATTTCCGGGTTTTTGGACTCATTCCTGCAGCACTCAGTTGTACAGTGATGAGCTGATTCAATTGATGGCCTCAACCACCAAGAATATTTTAATAAACCGCAATCTACTCAACCGCATCACCCCAGTCATTTGGCCACACGCAGCAGATCAACTACATGTATTTCCAGTTGTTGTAAATGTGCGACACAACAAAGCACTGTGTGTTTTTTTTTTAAACGTGAGCGCAACACCTTGACCACTCCTTGTACATTCTGTCAATGTCAGCCCTGCCTTTAACACACACCGCTCCTGAAAGACTTCTGAGAAGGAGCCGTCGATCCAAGTCTGCAGGAAGAAGGGCCCCACAAAAGATTGCCTACTATGATAACACCAATGAAACAGCATGGTGTGTGTTCAGCGAAACCAAAGTGTATGAATCATATTTGAAGGTTTTCTATTCAGAGAACTGTAAAAAATGTCCATCGCAGTTTCACAGAGCTCAAGCTCACGTGATTGAATGACTGGTTTTGTCTTTTGCTCCTGTGGGGATTGTCCACAGTATTGAGTATGTAAGTGCTTTGGATAAAAGCATCTAACAAGTGGAATGTAATGTAATGCAATGTCTTGAAAACAGTCTAAACTTGAACAAATATTCAATTCAATGAAATGCAACACAATAAAGCAGATTTAAGAAGCTGGAACCATCACATGTATGGCATTTCTGCTTGGAAAATGGCTTGATAGCTTATAAAAACAATGCATTTTCTGTATGTTGATTATAAAAATTATGTTAGAGCTCTACAGTGTTTGGATCTTCTTAAATAATCCTATAAAATGAATTTATTCCACATTTGAGTTTCAGAGTACGAGAAGCAACTCCTGTCTTTATTAAAGTCGGAAAAGATTATCTCTCAATTGTTTTAATATCTGACTTGTATCTGTGAATAAGTGTCAGCTTATCTCTCCACCCTCAGTCAAACCTTTATTGGCCTCTCAGCTCGTGAACTTTGACACTTTGGAATACAACCTGCACCTAGAGAGCGAGCACAATGCTGGTTCAAGCCTGCCAGGTCCTTTTCGGAACAGGCTTTCAATACTCAACCTAGTGGTGTAATGGTTATAATTTAACTCTAAACAATCAAACAAATATAGGTCAAAACTGGAATTGATGACTCAAAATAAAAATGAATAACTTGAGATGTTCTTTTTAGGTTGTATTCAAACATGTGCTTCCATGCTATGTTAGCCACAACTAATGGTAAAGCGCATTAGGTTTAGAAAACACAGAATATCATGTGGTGTCGCATTGGACTATAGGAAAACTAACATTTAAGGATAACTGAATGCATTGGTAGTAAACTGAGCACTTTCATTTAGAAACATACACTGGACTAAAAAATAAATGTGGAGGTTAAGTGGTTCTGTGGCGCCATCTAGTGTTTATGGCACCTTTGAGGAATGTGTTCAATGTGGTATCTGAGGCAATGTATCAGTATGAATTTAGTTCACTCACATTTGAAGGGTTAAGAGGTAAATCCTCAGGTTTTTCCTCAAAGGACTCTGATTCACAGTCTGAGATTTGTTGCCCGCTGTCCTTCTCAACTTCTTCCTCAGATTCTTCCAGATCAGTGTCTGTGTCGATAACAGGAAGGTCATCTAAAGAAAGAAAAGAATACTATAAATGAAAACAACAGGTTTGACAAACCGATTCTGACTCAATGTTTACTTATCAGACAAGTTTGGGGTTTTTGATAAAATCTCACTGCCTATCAGTGAATAGAAGTTGTTATCAAGTGAACAAAGGACAAAAGCTGAGTCAACTACATGATAACTGAGCAAACTCTGGAAAATGCCAGTAACTGGACGATGAGTTGGAGGAATAGTTAGACAATTTGGAATCAGTTATTCCTTTTAATGTTGATCATATCTTTACCATTCTGCAGTAGAGTAGTATAAGCTGAACTCACAAATAGATACAAACAAATAAGTAATATTTCTCAGTAAAAAATGTTGCTCATATTTAGTCAACCTTATTCTGTTCAAGTTTTTAAGTTTTAGAGCACTATAATTCTTGGCATTTAATTGTAAGTATAGTGTTTAGTAAAGTTATTTTTTTTTAATACATTGCAGCACAGGACACAAAACTACTGCAATTAAAAAGAAAACAGTCAGGAGTATCTTGTCCCCTCTTTTTGGAGTTATAAAGATGGGCCTATAGCAATGCCTATTCGTTCATGGCCACCAAATGCATGTTGATGTAGTTTCAGTTAGGGTTGAATGACATTTGTCTAATCATCGTCTCATCTTAGTCATAGAAAAAAGGTTGCTGACGGACAGTATTAGTCACAGTTTTTGTTAAGGAAACTAGCACTGCCTATGGTTTACCTGCCATGACTCAGAAAGTCACAACAGACGTGGTGTACCTTTATCAGTGCTGAGCATGCGCAGCGCTCTTGTGTAAGACTGGATTGGAGCTGTAGGTCTCGCCGGTCTCTGAGGACGCTGTTGTTGTTGATCCTGCGTCTCGTCATCAGACTGGTCTCCGTCACTGGAGCTCCATGCAATGTGCACCGTGTCCTCATTACAGGGGTCAGCCCTGGTCTGCACTGGGCAAACACAAGAGAGAGAAAAGATAAGGCGATGTCTGTTTAATGTCAACAAATAAAGCCAAAGAGACATATCTACAGAGCTTAATGGTTACATTCCCCACACCAAATAAAGCAATACAACAATTGATATTCCTTTGTGGAATAGAGAGAAGGAATCAAAGGTATTGTTTGAGATTAAACTTTATCACTTTCTCAAAAGGCTGTCTTGTATTATTATTTTTTTTAACAAAACAAAAGGAAAACATCTCAACATTAAATTGTGTCAAGAGGTGGAAGATTAAAGATAGAAGTGAATGTCCCCAGACTGCCTTATCTCGGTTTTCTTCCTATTGTTAGATCTGATGATAAACATGACAACATACACTATTTGGCCAGATTGATAAATTGTGGTGAGACACCATTTTGGTTGACAAAACTCTGCTCTAGAATAAATTGATTGTTCAGTCCAAACGTACATTGAATATAATGTGATTTTATGATTACTGTGACAGTAAATAACAATAATTTGTATCATGAATGACTATGCCGATGTTTAAAGTGATGATAAAATATCAAGATATTGCAAAGCCCCTAAAGTATTAGAAAATGCACTCAAATCGTAACAACAAATTACCTAAAGCAGAGGACTGAGCCATCTTTTTTATATCAGACGGTTTTCTTCGTGATGACTTGAGGTTCTGCAACACAAATAAAAGTAATAATACCATCAACAATGTTAAATAAACAGGAGAATAATAGATACGAATTGGTGATGTGAGTATTATGTGTTTCAGTCATGTCATGGAGCATCTTTTTCCACCTTCATGACCGGAGAGTCCAGAAAACTGTCTCCACACTTCTCCCAGCTCTTGGCAGAAGACGCAGGTGAATGGGATCGTGGCTCTTTGTCCAATTTTTGCAAACCTTTTCCGACATCATCAGGAAAGAAGACACGCTTTATATCCTTGTAGTTCCTTTTACGCTAAAAGACGGGGGCGGTCAGAAAACGTTCTCATCACGAAATGCAACAACTGGGTCGAAAGCTCTGACTCAGCTTTTATTGACATACATCAAGTTTTCACATTAAATTACAACATTGGTTTGTCGTTGTGATAATGAAGAATATATAAACCACTTGATTCAAGAGTGACAGGTAAACTGCACTCAGCTGGGGGTGGGCAGAGGTAGATAGTTGTCAAAGCTAACTAGCATGTAGCTTCAAGTTAGCATAATCAGGCTAGCAATTTAGCTACCTAGTTAGCAGGTTTCTTACCTTTCTGGAAGACATGACGACAAAATAAAGTAACTTTAAGCAACAGCTGCAGTTTATGCATGTGTCAAAACAACGTAGTCTAATAGTATCTATTTAATTAACCCATCTTTGTGCAATAGCGCTTTACCGGTGTTTGCTAACTCACTGGTTTGCAAACGTACTAACAGCACTGTGTTGCTCAATCCAGAGAGGGGTGTGTTTGGTTATTCAACAGCATGGTCCGCACGCAGTGTGTGTGTGTGTGTGCGTGCGTGCGTGAGAGAGAGATAGTGAGTTAGTTTTAAAATTGTATTATATTGAATTGTTATTTTATGTAGTTATCATTTATTTTAATCCATATCTATATGTTATGATAGCTTTTCATTTTCATTTATTAAATTGTAGTGGCAGTGATGTTCCTCCTTGAACTTGGAGCCTTTGGAAATCAATTTCTCCTGTCTTGTACACTTTGTACTTTCACTCCATTACATTTAGAGAGGGACATATATTTATCTTCTTTCACTAAATTACAAAATGTATCTGACAGCTTTCATTTCACTATTACTTACTGTTAAACAATTTAATATTTAAAATGTATTTAACATCACTTGAGTTGTGTTTGTACTTTACTTTGAATACTTTAAGTCCAGAAACATTGCCTACGAAATATTAAAAGTAACAGAAAATGACTATGCTCAAGTAACATCTAAACTTTTGCATATAAAGTATGTACAATTAGCTATACTTACGCTGGTTACATATATCTCTCATCATAATGAGTACCTTTACCTGTTATATTTTGTTTTTCCTTATTATGCTTTTGCACTTTTACTTAGTAAAAAGCAAGTTAAAACAGTATGTTCACTCTGTGGTACTGGTAAATAGATACAGACTTCATCAAACTAATAAAACTACAATTTATCTGCTAAAACTATGATCAAGGCTAGTTGCTTTTTCTGGAGCTACATGACAAAACTCCCATAGACTTAAAACGTGATTTTATTACAGCAAATCCATCCGAATCTCAACATCTTTCAAATAGCAGGTTAAACATACAAAAAGCTCACTTACTGTAACATACCTTGTTTTTTATTAAATATGTAAAAAGCAGGTCAAGTTATTCACAAATAAAATGCAAACATGCAACACGTTTTTTGGGGAATGCATCATGAGTGGGACATGAAAAAAAAACATTTACCATTCATTAATTTTTGACAGTACATGTTTACATTCCTTTTCCTTTACACAATAATATATAACTAAAGCATTATGGTGCACTGCCCAGTTCAATATTAGTTGATGAAATATTAAGAAAGGGTATACAATGTACTTACTGGAATATAGCATGGCAAATTGCTCAGTGAACAGACTCTCCCTAAGACCTGTGGTTAAAAAAAAAATCTGAAATCTGAACAGACCACAAGTTCCAGCCGAGGTTCGAAACTTAAAAAATGCATCATAATAAGACTAATCCACAATAACGTTTTCTTCCTTCTCTACGTTTATGGCATACCAAGTTAACTATCACCAAACCAACGTGTATGGTGTGAATAAAACAATGTTGAGCACACTGATTATCTGAAATGTGGCAATATGTGAGGATAATTGACAATCATAAGATGGCGTAACTACATTTTATTCACAATTCTTAAATTGTATTGTCCTCCTTCACGAGGATGCAATGCAGAATCTCACACTATTCCTAAGGCTTAATAAAAATAATAATAATAAATATGGTGAGGGTCTATGGACAGATTGTCCAATATAGAGTCAAATGTCAGTGCAACATATGGAAGGAGGTTAAATAAGATTTACTATGAGCCCTTTTAGGGCTTTGCTTATTGCATTCATGTGGTTAATATTGTTGATATGCAAAATAAAAAAACAAAATGAAAAAAGGACAGAAGCTGGGAAGTTAACACTTGCACTGACAGGTAACAGTTACCTGTCTAAGATTAAGCATTTTATCACGAGCACTGTAGGATTTGAATTGCTTTTCCACACACAGAGTCCTCAGGAAACTTCTGTGATGGTCTGAGCTCGTTCTGCTGGTGGAGGTCGTCACCAACAACCTGCCACAGCAGTTCACCAAAAGTCACAAAAAACATCGAACAGTGAGCAGAAGGATACAAAAAAAAAAAAAAAACTGTGATGGTGCTTCTATTCAGGAAGTTGCTTCATGTGCTCAAGTCTTGGAGAGAACAAAAAGGATAAACCATGAGAAAAAAATTGAAATCCTTTAACAGTTCTCACATATTAAAAAAGGAGGGATGTAACTGATGGGAGGAGCGATGGCGGTCAGTATTCATCCTGCTCCTCCTTCTGACCATCTGGCGCCTCCTCGTGGGCTCGCTGGTCCACTTCCTGTCCGTCAGCCTCGGGCAGCTCTGCTCCCTCCTAAAAAAAAAGCGGGGGGGAACAGAGAAAGCTTAACACCGGTGTTACTGAATTACAGAGGTGGGAGTAAGTCTTACATGTGCAAGTCATGAGTAAGTCTCAAGTCTTAACCTACAAGTCTCAAGCAAGACCCAAGTCACTGTGGTGAGAGTCAAGCAAGTCAAGTCAAGTCATTGCTCAGGTCAAGCAAGTCACAAGTCAAGTCATACGAAATTCTGATGAATAATCCCAGTTTCCGAATTTAAATCAGTTAAAATATTGTGGTTATGAAAAGTTTAGTTTTATTTTCAACATAAATAGGAATGGAGAGTGGGGCTCTGAAATTATAACCCTAGTTCTAAAGGGCTCTAAAGTGAAAACAGGAGTACAACACAAACATTTAACATCAACATGTTAAGCCTCCTGCCCTGGCTCCCCTTCAGCAGGGTCACAGCATTTCTCCATGGTCTGTCTAAGGTGCTCCCATCTGACACTGTCTCATTGTTTTCCTAACTGTGTCTTTGCACAAAGAAATATTGCATCAAAGCCAATACAACGGAATAGTGTATGTAACAGGGCGCGTGATATGTGTGTGTGTGTGTGTGTGTGTGTGTGTGTGTGTGTGTGTGTGTGTGTGTGTGTGTGTGTGTGTGTGTGTGTGTTGTCGGACACACACACCGAACACACACACAGAGCAGAGCACAAACACACACACACATCATGCGCCTTGGTGACCGGACATCTCCTTCATAAAACGAGTAATAGGGGGATTAATCGGACAGTTCGATGTGTGTAGAGGTGTGTGTGTGTGTGTGGTGTGTGTGTGTGTGTAGAAGTGTGTGTGTGTGTGTGTGTAGAGGGGTGTGTGTAGAGGGGTGTGTGTGTGTGTATGTGTGTGTGTGTAGGTGTGTGTGTAGGTGTGTGTGTAGTGTGTGTGTGTGTGTGTGTGTGTGTGTGTGTGTGTGTGTGTGTGTGTGTGTGTGTGTGTGTGTGTGTGTGTGTGTGTGTGTAGAGGTGTGTGTGGTTAAAACGACGCTCTTCAGCTGTTCTAATGAAAGTAAACACAGTGAAGGCATTGCGTAAAAGGCACAGCTCTTTGTACGCTGGTACTGCACTTCTCAGAGGCGGAGTTACACGTCCCACTGCCTCCTGGTGCTGTAGCGATTTCATGAAGTGAATGAGAGTCCGGGTTCGAAATATATCTAAAATAATGTATGCACTGCCATTTCCCAACATAAACATAACAGTCTGCAATGAAACGGTTCTCTCCTGTGTGCTCCACTTCCTACTTGGCGCTCCGGTAACTTTCTCGTGCGAGATACAGTATCTTTTTTCATTGCCCTTAGGGGCTCCGTACAATACAAAAACAAATATTTAATTTTAAATTGAAGTCCTTTCGAGTCATCTGTCCCAAGTCAAGTCAAGTCTCAAGTCATGAATACCAAGTCAAAGTCAAGTCAAGCCTTTTACCAATGTTACTCAAGCAAGTCTCAAGTCACAAGTCATGTGACTTGAGTCCCCCACCTCTGCTGAATTATGCTCATGATGTCGAACATGTGATTTCTAACAAAGACTTCTTATCTCCTTTAACCACACACTAACATTCACAAAATGTCCTTGGTATTCTCCGCTTCAAAGTCTTATAAAAGTCAGTGAAGATGAAGGTTTCCTGAATCCTGTTCAGATCTATCAAAGGTCTCAGACTGACCTGCTCGTCAGTAGAGTAGAGGACCTCCATTAGTCGATCCACAAACGGGGCGTTTTCTTCCCCCTGGTCCTGGCACAGCAGCTCCACCTCTCGCAGCTTGCTGAAGTAGTAATCCCTCTCCTTCTCCACTCCTTCCAGTGCCGATTTTAATGTGTTCATCTACGACAAAAACATTTCACATTCTTTTTTAGCATCAATATAAAAACACACACAATGTTGATGAGAGGCAGAAGGCAACAGGTAAGCGGATACTACATCAACTAGATCTGCCTTTCATTCTGATAAACGTTTGCATATTGAAAACCTAGATAAAAACACTTTAGTTTATAATTACCTATAATTAAAATGCATCATTTATTTTTTCAATGCTAATTCAGGTGATAATTCTCTGTAAGTTCATCAATACAAGTGAACCCTTTGTACATTGTACAACCTTACATGTTACATTGTTTTTGTAAAAAAACAAAAACATGATACAAGTTGTCTCAAATGGCAAGTCACATGTAACCAGAGTAGTCAATTTAATCAATTAAAACTGTACCACTATCTTATTATTGCTTTTAAAAATGTGTCCTAGTGAGATAATAGTAAAGCAACTCCTTCATGAAGCACATCATCTATTAAACAAGGTGTAAACAAATAGGTAACATCCATATTTAAAAAAAAAAAATCATTAAAAAAAGTTAAGAAATGGTTGAAATAAAATCCAACAGTAAAGAACAGTGTAGATAAGACCAAAGCGCCTGTATAGAAATTAGCAGCAACATTTAATGACACAGTAGATCGTCCGCATTATTGCATTTATTTAACCTGCCGAGTGGCCAGCAGAGGACATCCAATCCAATCATTTGAAAAACAAGAAGAGTTTGGGGATCTGAGTGTTGGTTTCCAGTCTCACAATGGTTGTGAAATTAATGTCTAACTATGAGAATGAAGCTTTACATCAACACACCTGCTCGGTAAGATGTGTGACCTGTGCTTCCAGTTCTTTCTCTCCTTTGGCAGGAGTCGATGTTGCCACAGCAGGGATCTTTTTGGCTGACGAGGGTCGGGATGTTGGTGTGGAGGACTTGGGGGTTGTTGAACTCGACCTTGACGCTCCTACAG